ACCCGCAATGAATAGGGAGGGTATAGTAATGCTATGAATAATCCAGTATCGAATACTGGTAATAATATCAGCAAAAGAACGTTCTCCTGTGCTTCCAGACATGCCGAGCTCCACACATTCTTATACAGTCAAAGGGGGATCGATTCCATAAAAGATCAGATCAGTAAGTAGAAATTGACTGAAATTTTATTTTAGTTTTTTCTTGGGGAAATTACCTGAAGCTTATGCTTTTTTGACTCCAATTGTAGATTTTATGCCAGTAATACCCTTACTCTTTTTTCTCTTCGCTTTTGTTTGGCAAGCTGCTGTAAGTTTTCGATAAGATCTTTCATTTGAATAATGTCCTAAAAAAGTAAGAATTTATTAGAAAACTCAAATTGGAACTTTTTTAAGGAAACATAATATGAAATAGAAGAGAATCTATGCTGGAAGCAGATGAAATGGTGATACTTCGAGAAACAATAACATCTATTTATTCGCAAAGAACACGCAAACCGGTATGGCAGATATCTAAAGACCTGGAAAGGGATCATTTTATGTCACCCGAAGAAGCCCAAGCCTACGGAATTATTAAATGGATACGTCATCTTATCTTGATAGATGACTTTACCCCGTCAGATATTTATTCTAGTATCTGGAGCACGGAATATAGAAAATAAATAGATTCTAAAGTGTTAGAACTATGATTCATACTTAATATTTATATTTAGACCTCGCAATCGGACGAAAAAAATGAAAGAGTTAGAAGAATTCATTTAGAAAAAGAAATGGAATTTTATTCGGCAAAAGATTTGACTTCAATTGAAATTGGGTTAGTGATGAAGTCGGAGGGTTTCCTCGAAGCATCCATGGCTGAGTGGTTAAAGCACCCAACTCATAATTGGCGAAGTCGCTAGCAGAATGTGAAAGATTACCTTTTGATTTACCAGAAGCAGAAGAAGAATTAGTAGCTGGTTATCAAACATAATCCTTATTTCGTTCACTTTCATTCAGTGTTAAGAAGATTGAATTAGGTATATTTCTATTTCACACTAAGTAGGGAAATAAAAAAATGAGAATGAATCCGGAAATGGAGTAAAATAAAAAAGGATGAAGATCAATAAGAATTGAGTTAAGGGACAGGATAGAATCCATTTATCAAAGATTCGCAGCGGGAATTTTTCTTGTAGCTCGACTTCTTCCTCTTTTCATAGTTATACCCTCCATAATGACTGGAATAGCTTTGATAGGTATAATAACAGTAGTATTAGGAGCTACTTTCGTTATTGCTCAAAAAGATATTAAGAAAAATTTAGCCTATTCTACAATGTCTCAATTGTACTATTATCTTAATTTCTATTAATTGAAGAAATAATTTGAAAATAAAACAACAAGTACAAAAATGAGTAATAAACCCCAGTAGAGACTGGTACGATTCAATTCAACATTTTGTTCATTTGGGTTTGATTGTGTCATAGCTCTATAATTCGGATTAGGTTTATCGTTGGATGAACTGCATTGCTGATATTGATCCCAAAAAAGAAACGGTGGGTACCGCTAGTCCGTGAACAGCCAACCATCGTACTGTAAAAATGGGATAGGTCATATCTATGGTCATTGGAGCCTCCTAAAAAGATCTACTAAATTCATCGAGTTGTTCCAAAGAATCAAAACGGCCAGTTATTAAAGGAATTCCTTGTCGGGTTTCTGTAAAATACTCGTTTGGACGGGGGCTTCCAAATACATCGTAAGCTAAACCCGTGCTGACAAATAACCAACCCGCAATGAATAGGGAGGGTATAGTAATGCTATGAATAATCCAGTATCGAATACTGGTAATAATATCAGCAAAAGAACGTTCTCCTGTCCACCTAATTACCTTATTTCCCCTATGAGGAAATAAGAAAATTAAGGAACCTGCGGCTATTGGGAAAACAACAACTATTGTTAACCAAGGAAAATAATTCGTGATAAAAATAAGATACACTTGGGCCAGAAAAGCCCATGCTCAAAATAAAATAGAATTTTTTTCTTTTTTATTTTGAACACGAGTTTTTGCCAGTAAAAAGTTTCTGTAATATAGAAAATTGTGCATAAAGTGGGCAAGGAATAACAATTTTGCTACACCCACTTCTATACACGAATGGGGGGGGGGGGGGGGGAATACTCGGATCAAAATTCTTGTTATTTTAACTCGTTTTCTAGGTATCGCTTCATATTTGTTTTTTTATTTCAATTCGAATATAGATCTAGAATACCTTGTTTTGACTGTATCGCACTATGTATCATTTCATAATCCAATGAATCTTTGACCAAATCAAATTTAGAAAATGAAGGAATATCAAGTATATTTAGAACGAGCTAGATCTCGCCAATAAGACTTCCTATACCCACTTCTTTTTAGGGACTTTGCCTTCCACCTAAGCTACGCAAGAAAAGCCCAAAGCCAATCCCAGGGAACAGTGAAGCTTCATAGGGTCTTTCTGTCCAGGTGCAGGTAGTCCGCATCTTCATAGACATGTCTATTTCACTGAGTCTCTCTCCGAGACAGTGCCCAGATCGTTACACCTTTCGTGCGGGTCGGAACTTACCCGACAAGGAATTTCGCTACCTTAGGACCGTTATAGTTACGGCCGCCGTTCACCGGGGCTTCGGTCGTCTGCTTCCTTGTCATCAGGTCACCAAATTCCTTAACCTCAATTGGGTGAAATTTTTGAATTAGATCGTGCTACTTTAAAATCGGATGGTGTTTTTCGTAGCAGTCCAAGGGGTTGGTTTACTTTTGGACATGCTTCGTTTGCTCTGCTCTTCTTTTTCGGGCACATTTGGCATGGTGCTAGAACCTTGTTCAGAGATGTAACTAAATCTTCCCATTTTTTAAATATTTTTTTGTATAGGAGAGAGTGAAGCAAAATAACTATTAAACGATTTTTTTAGTTTACTAGAAACATCAATATATTTTTTTAGCTCGACCAAAATTTTATTCTTTTCCTAAAGATTCTATCAAATAGAAATAGAGAACGAAGTAACTAGAAAAAAAAGAAATTGTTCAAATACTCCTTTTCTTTCTATAGGGATCATCTAAAAAGCATAGAAACAAAGTCATAGGCACGTAGGTTCAGGGCCAGACCGACTACTCCAAGAGCATTCATCCATAAACTAGTTACTGGTACAAATAACATAAAGAAATGTAACCAACGTTTATTGGAAAAAGCAACCCCAAAGATTTGGGATCTCATCCGGCTAAAGTATTTGCACACAATTAAAGATAAAGAAAGGGGTTTCCGCTTTTCAATTTTGGAAAACCTCTAATCTAAAATCAAAAAGGTTTACTCTTTACTTAAGTTATCAATAAAGACCAAGCAACATTTCATTGATACATTCTTCTTTTTTTTTTTCTGAATTTTTTTATCCAATTCGAAATTAAGACAGAAATAAAATGATCTCTCTTATAACATAAATTGTCTTATTTGTTAAGAAAATTTAAACAATTAATTTATCTAATAAAAGTTTCAATAGTTTTTTTAATCATATTATTATTAATATTATTGTTTACCTTTCACTTTTTACATGTATTACTATTTCAACTTAAATTTAATATTATTCTTAAAATTTTTCTATTTTCATCTTTTAAAATTTATGACAATCTGCAAACAAATGCGCGTCCAAAATCATATCCCACTCAAAAACGTCTCTCGTGCGTAGGCACGAGTTTGCTACTAGTTGTTTATACAATAAAAACTCATAGGAGTTATGTACATAGGTTAGATATGTCAATTTCCCCCCTCCCAGCAGCGGCTTCGATGTGTATATATAATCATGGTATAGCTGCAAATGTATTTTGTATTCAAAATATTAACTATCATGGACTGAAATAAAATCAAACGTTTTTTTTCCAGTATTTTCAATTTTTTTCCTCAGTTGTACTTATTTAGTTGCGAGGTTAACTCAAGCAAACTATAAGCACACTGTTTCCAATTCTCTCTTTTATCGTGAAAAGATATGAGTTAGGGGTGTTTAAAACCGAATCAACTAATTAGTAGAAAATCGTAAACCAAATCGAATTGAAATTGTAAAAAAACTGCATTTGGTTTGTATGTGTTTTGATAATTTTTTAACAAAAATGTGCGGTTCAATCTTGTTTGCGGTTTGTATTTTACAAACTGAACTAAACCAAATCGTATTATGTTACAAATTGAATTAAACCAAACTGCATTATGTTGCAACCCAAACTTCATTTATTTCACGCCCAACCCAAAATTCAAACCTATTATGTCTTAACCTTACAAATATTCTCTCACTCACATTTAAGATTTTAGTTTCAACCTTCTCAAATTTCTCATAGTAACATCGCGTATTCTTATTTTCTTTGTTTTGTATTCCATCAGTCTTAAATTATAAGACGTTTTGAACTTTTTATGCAAATTAAAAAACATAAATATAGTTGTATAGGAAAAAGAAATTATATATGATTTTACAATATTGCACTTCGTTTATTATATATAAAAGAGAAATGAATTAAATGTACTTTTGGTCCCTTAGTTTGGGCAATTAAATCAATTGATCCCCCTGTTACAAAACTTGCTAATTTGGTCCCTTAAATTAGATCCACTTTGAATTTACTTGCTCCCCTATCCTTTTTTTTAATACTTATGTGACATGTTTTTTAATGAGTTGGCAGTCTTATATGGGATTCATGTAATCAAATTGTAATATTTAAATGCCATCTGAATAATTTATTTAAGAAAATATTAAAATTAATTTTTTAAATCAAAGAAACAAATTATTAAATTGCTAAAACGTTAATATAGGCTTAAGTAAAAAAAATTGTCCAAATTCACACCATTGTTCTTCTTCCTCGCTCCATTGTCCGTTCCACTGTTCTTCGTCTTCCTCACTCCATTTCTTCAAGTGAACATAAAATCCAACTACTAAAATGTCGCAGTAGTCTGGTTAGCCATAGAAGCAGTTCATCTAGTCGTTCTAGGTATTTATGCAAGTGTGATCTTGACGCTCCGTTGATGACGACATGGACGGATGCAAACTTAGATCGTCGTTTCTATGGATGTGGGATGTATAAGGTTCAAGGGTACAAAAAATGCACTCACTTTGCTTGGTTGGATGAGGAAATGAATCCTAGGACAAAAGAGTTAATTTCTGCACTATTAAAGAAGTTGAATAAGGAGAAGGAAATGATTAGCACCCATAAAACCAAGGATGAATTGAAGATTAAGGTGAAGATCTTGAAGAAGCATTTGGATATTAACTGGATTTTGTTATTTGTAATCTTCTTTACATTTGTTGGAACAACAATGATGAAATAGATATAGTTGATTAGAGTATTTGTAAATGTTCTTTGCATTTGTTGGAACAATAATTATGTAATATTGTAATGGTTGAAAGTTAATGTTATGGTATTGATGTTAAGGTTTTCATGTTATCATTTGATAGAAATGACTTATAAAATGTTATGGTATTCATGTTATGGTATTAATGTTATGGACCTGTAATGACTTATAATGTTATGGTAATCATGTTATGGTATTAATGTCATGGTATTTGTAATACCCCAAATTTTACCCTTACATTTAGTCAGGCATTTCGCATATCATCTCCTATGAACATTTGCTAACCACTAACAAGTTATGGAGGTGTTTGTTTTGCAGATTTGGTCCCAGGGGTATTTTGGTCATTTCACGCAAATTCTGCTAATTTCTTGAAAACGGGCTGTTATTACGTTCTGAGGCATTTATTTGCCATTTGGGTCAAGGTGCCAGTATGTTTTGTCAGAAATATGATTGGACTCGGGGCCGTGCTTTGTTTGATTCTGAAACGTTTCCAAACAGTTTTGTTTCCTTTTATAAAGTTGGGTTGAAAAGGAAGTGGATACTGTTAAGGTTATTTTGAGAAGTGATGTGATCAACGAGGTTTTAATTTGAATTTGTTTGGATATAATCATATGGCGGGATATCATTTATAGCAAAGAAGAGGTTAAGTTTTAATATTTGTGAGCTTTTATTCATGAATGTTCATAAGCTACAAATCAAAGTTGAATTTAAATAATTTATGGATGATTATTCATGGATATTTAAATTCATAATTGAGAAAATAGAAATGAATATTTACTGGATTTTATTTCATAAACATCTAGAATTACAAGTTGAAATGGAAGTAATTTTTGGATTTTATTCATGATGATCTTTCATTTACAAAAGGATTATACATTCACAATAAGTATCTATCCTAAATCCTAAAAGTTCCTAAGGGTCTTCATGCTGTCTTTAAGCTTCGCCGCAAATCTCGACTAACCTGCACATCAAAGCAAAACAAACAACAGGAAAAGAGGTTAGAAGTTGTTTGACACTCTCAGAACATTATCATCATCGAGTGTCGGGAGGGCACGACTAAAGCCGCATCCTACTCCCGTTACCAATCTGAGCCATCGGCGTCAGATCAGGTAGTTATTGTTCTTATCATAAGGGACTGTCGAAAGATGAAGAGTAAAAGAAGTAGGATTAACTGATTTGCCAAAAGGATTCACGCGACTTTGGATTCAAAACTAAAACAACATTCCATCAAGTAAATATGGTAAGTTCCAATTTATTTTTCAAACTGATACAAAGCAGCCAGCAGCAGTCAAGATTGGGTAACGCAAATTTCCAGATCTCTACCGTCTTCATCATATTGGGTGAGTGTGTTCGCATTTTATCCAAAGATTTCTCAACCTCCAAGCTAAACATCAAGTCGCCAAACCGATCCTGCAAAGATAATCCATTCAAGATTCATCATATGGTAAGGTGAATTCCGAGAAACAAGAAATAAACACCTATGTAAGATTTTAGCAGCTAGTTGCTTTAGCACGGGCCCTGCGGCAAGCCGGCTCCATGAATTCTTCTCGCATCAGTTCTATGATGCTGCTGTTACTTTGCTATACATTTATTTGTATCAGAGAATATTGAAAAGAGAACTTAAATACCGAAACGAAGTAAAGACATTAAAGAGCTAAGGTGAGTAATAACAACCCTCAGATTTTTTAATCATCATCGGGCAGTTTCGAGCGGCTGGAAGGGCAACAACCGAAGTTGCCGCCAACTCCCTACTGAACACCAAACAGCTCTTCGGCAACGGCGTAAGACAAGATAGTATCTAAAATCAAACAGCCCAATATCTCGTCACAAAGAAATCAGTAACAGCGGCATCAGCCCAAACAACTTCAAGCTGCAACAAACTAACAAGTTCAAGGCTACAATCGACCTCCAACAGGCAGAACCAACATCAGTCACAACAAGCAAAGAGAAGCAACACGAGTTTCGACCAGCAAACAACAAATTAGCATCAGCTATAAGCATCACAGCTTCGGCAACAAGCATCACTCATAAATACCAACATTGCAACAATGACCACCAACGACGGTTCAGATTCGCGAATCATCATCACCGTTTCAGAAGCAAATCTCCAAGCTACAAGCAATAACAACAACAGATACCAATTGCAAATGGCACCAACTCCAACACAGCAAGCAACATCATTCCAATGCCTGCAGACATCGATTACAAGTAAGACGAGCTAGTTAGCATCTGCCAAACAATTTCAAGAGCAACCATTAACACCACCATATCAACATCTGCATCAACAAGTATGGCAAGATTCTGCACACGGCGACAATGGAACAACAGACGCGAGAAAAGAGTTCAGCCAACTCAATTAAGTTCAGAGATGCATCAAAATTGGTCCATAAAACAGGAATTCACGATAGCAACAAGGTAAAAAGGGCGTCCAGGGCTAGATGAATGCAGTTCAACAAATAAACAAAAACATAAGCAGTTCATAAACAGAGTCAAGCTGTATCGGTTATGACAAAAAATGAAGCTGCAAGCCAAACGAGAAAACAGCAAGAATGATCCAATAGTTATCAAATCATGCTCAGTTCATAAAACAAACGAATCATCAAACACGGGGCTCCGTTAATCAAACATCATAGCCCAAGTCACCATCCCCAATTCAATTAGAAGCAGCAATATGATCAGAAGCCAGGATGTAGTATCCTGTTCCGAATGGTTCAGACAAAATTCATCACTACCATGTACCCTTCTCGGCGGCAAAGATCAAGGCAAAGTGTCCATCCTGAAAGAAGAAAAAGAAAAAGTAAGTGCCAATGGTCAGGATTGAATCATATCAGGAATCAAATCAGTATCCAAAATCCCCAAAAGCAATCCAATTCACATCTGCAAGAGTCTAATCAAAAGATGATCAACTCAAATTGAATCTGGGAAAAATAGAAACAAATCAAAATGAAACCATCAAGAAATCCCGTGAATTAATATCAGATGCCAATCAATCCAATCTGAAGGCAAACCATATCAGAAAATAATAGAGATCTTGATGTCAATCCTGAAGTAGACCAAAACAAAATCAGTTCAGGTTATTAAATCGAATCAGCTGGAAATCAGAAAGGGGAAATAGGATCAGATGGAACCAAATCATATCCCATTGGAACTCATCAATCAACGAATCAGTATCAAATTCATATCATAAAAATGAAATTTAATCTCACCGAAATACCAATCGAATCCTAAAAGAGGAATAGAGTATCCAATCGTAATCCAATCAGTATCTGAGAAAATCACAACGAAATCAAATAATACCAACACAAAATCAAATCAGATCAAGTGCATATCTCAGAAAAAAACGCAAGTCCAAGGCCCAGAAGTTAAGTTATAAAAGGGAGGATACAACCTGAGAGAGAGAGATCACGAGCGAAACCCTAACGAAGAACGGAGATCGCAAACGAACAAACCCTAGGCGCCGTGAACGAAAGCCGCGAACTCAGACGAAGAAAATCGTCGTCATCGTTCAAACGCGCCGTGTATCATCCATCATCGGCCTTTCATCGCAGATTGGAAGAGTTACGGTCGTAAAACGTAAGCCATCACGTAATTAACATGTTGCTTGCTTTGTTTTCAGGATAAGGCGACATAACGAAAGCCATCAACGGAAAAGAAGACGAATGGTATCGTGAATGAGAATGAGAGCATGCAAGAGAGAGGGGAAGGGAAGAAGAGCAGCGGCGCCGCGAAAGGATTTTAGGGTTTCGAAACCCTAACCTCTGCTTTGACATATTACTAACAAACTGGGTTGGGTCCGGGGTGATGACCGGCCCAACCTCTCTCTCTCTTTTTTTGTTTTGTTTGTTTTTTACCTTTTTATTTTATTTTGTTAACCATTTTATTTTTATAATTTAAAAAACCGTTTTTAAAAGAAAAATAAATAAAACAAATAACTTTAAAACTTCTTTTAAAAAAAAAAAATATAAAAAAAACTTCTTTTCACTTAATGAAAAACTTTTTTTAATAAATAACTTAAATAAAAAACCTTTTTTAAAATATCTAAGTTAAAACCTTTTAGATAATTAAACTAAGCTGTTTTTTTGAAAAAAATTAAATTTAACTTTTATATATTATCCTTTCTTTAAACTTAAAAATTGGAGACTTTTCCTTATGTCAAAAATGAGCAATAAAAATCTCAAGGTTTCGCGCTTTCGCTTCACAATCTTTCTGACTATTGTTCGTTTTCGCCTGTTAACCTTGTTTGTTCATTTTGCAGCTTGTTACGTCGTTTTCATTCGTTTTGCGCGTTTTATTCAAATTTTCATTACTGTTGTATCTGTTTCCTATATGTAACCTCGCGAACCCTAACAATCGCGCTTTAATTACTGCTTTTAAATTTCTGTCTGCATGGCTTTAGCTTCTGTCTTATTCTCTGTCTGCATAATTCAATTATCTCACACACTCATCGAATATTCCAATCACACTACACACATCCGAAGGTTAGGTCTAGCTTTTGGCCGCTGCGCCAATAGTCCTCAAAACTTCAAACCCTTTCACCTTACAAACCCTAATTTTCACAAATGCCTCGCCGCAGGCAAAATTACAATTTTACCCCTAGCATTAGGTCAAAGAGCCGCCGCGCTCATTTTAGGGTTTCCCGCCGCGGAATCCCTAACCTAATTTAACCCTAATTTCAACATAACATTTTAATGTAGAGATTGGAGTTTCTACACTCCACGTAAGCGTGTCCTTAAGATGCGTTTATTCCCCTTGAGACCTTGACCACAGTCAAGAAGTCTCTAACCTCCTTTTGAGGGGAACTACGATTACTCTGATTCCACTCCCGTAAGGATACGTAGGCACAAGATGCGATGTCTTGCCGAGTAAACTTAGAATTAACCCCTTAGGTTTATTTTCTCACTTTTAATCCTTTGTACATATACCTTAAGCAAATGAATAAAGCAAATAGTAAACATCTGAACAAAAGGTTCCTGTAG